GGGTGGAGAGAGGCGTGTTCAGGCTCATTCAGTTAACAACAGGCAGATCAAGGCTCAAACCCATGTGCTTGAATTTACATTCAGAAAAGGCAGCAGGATATATGGAAAACTCAGATTTTGAGTCTCACAGGCTGGAGTTCTCATCTATAAAATGGGGATAATAATGCCAAAGCTGATGAATTGTCAAAAGTAATAAATAAATTATGTAAGACCTGGCGCATGGCAGGTAGTCAGTAAAAGTTCTTTTGTGCCCCTTCTCCCTTTTTCCCCCTCTACTGAGCAGGAGACATCTCCCTTTGTGTTACGTTGGTGTGGACCCAGCTCCGCTCTAGCTTGAAAGCTTGTGGGAGAGAATCCATTCTCTGGGACCTACCCTGCTGGCTGGGGCAGGGGCAACTGGGAGGGCAGTTCCGCAGCCACGAAGCGCTGCAAGAGGAGCAACTCAGCCGCTGTCTCGTGAAGCTCCTTATTACACAGATGAGGAACCCAGGGACCAGAGAGGGCTGAGGGACACAGGGCTCATCAGGTGCCCAGAAGGGCTGGTACCCAGGAGTTTCCGCTCCAGGTCTGTGCCCCCTCAACACTTGTCACCTTCTTACTTCTATTGCTTCTCATCCCCCTGGCTGAGGTGGGGAGGGGTCAGCCCTGAAGATGGGCCCTCCATTCTCTGTAGACACTGTATCTTGGGGAAAGCCATGGTCCCCAGGGCAGGGAGCCTGTGGGGACCCACCATGAGGCTGAGGCCTCAGGAGGAGGTGCCCCTGCTGGCAGAGGCTGGGCCTCAGCAGGCTGAGGGTGGGCTCCCCTTGCTGGGGGGTGGGGGCAGGGGTGAGGCGAGTCACTCTGCACCGCCTTGCCCAAACTCAAAGCTCAGCATTCTAAGAGGTGAGCGTATCTGTGGGTGGCCGACTGAGACAGAGGAAGTGGCTGATAGGGCTGCCTCAGACCGGCTGCCTATGTGTCCATTCCCCACAGAATCTCTGCAATTTCCTCTTTCATTCCTGGCTCGTCAAGCCCAGTGAGTCGGTTCCTTTCTCCTGCAGTACAGCCTACAGAAGGGCCACAGGGCTTCTCCACTCTCTGGGGTGTCACAGCAGGTGGCCCTGGCTCATGTGGTGCTAAATGAGGATGAGCCCTCTCATCTCTAAGAACAATTTGAAAGCCTTCCTCAGTAGATCTTACCAGTGTTTGGGAAGGAGGTGGGGGAAGTCATGCCTATTTTACAGAAGAAACTGAGGCTTCGAGAGACCCAATGACTCATCTAATACCACAGTTTCGAAGTCTCCTGCTCTTTGATTTCAGAATTTCTCCAGTTGGTCCCCAGAAACCCTTTGAAGTAATTAGCTCATGCCAGCTCATGGAACCCAAGGGTGGGGGCAGCACCAAGGCAAAAGTTAGAGCTGGCATAGAAAGGACAGTGAGAGTACTTCCCTAATAGAGGCTCAGTGGCCCCAAGCCTCCTGTCACTTTCCTGGCAGGGCCCCTGGAACCAGCAGGCCTGACTGTTGGAGGGAAGTCACCCCCAAGGTTCCTCTCTGGCTGGGTGAGCCTCAAAGCCTGCAGACGTTTAGGAGGGGATCTGAGCCCTACTTAGTGAGTGTCTACTTGACTCTGGCTCCAGTTGGTGCAGAACCCCAACTGGGTTCAGGAGAATGGGGCTCTGAAATGGGCATGACCCCATGGACAGGCTTTAGCAGACAGCTCTAAGCAGCGCCGAGGAGGGCAAAATATTTGGTCTCCAGGAGACACGTCAGCAGAAGGTCCTGGTGAGGGGGTGAAAGCAGCCACAGAAAGGAGAAGGAGCCACTTCACAGGGAGGGGCCCTCTGCCAAGACCCAGGGACAGGGTAAAGGGACAGTGTGCTCGGTGGCTTTCTCTCCTGTGGGTATGTGACACCCACCCCCCTCCCAGCCAGGGCAGCCCGTCTCCCCGAGGCATACCCAAACCTGCTGAGTGTGCAGAGTGGCCTCTCCAGTGGAGAGCTGACCTGTGATCCCAGCATAGCAGGCAGCACGTGCTCATACCCACTTCCTCATCCACTATCTATTGTCCGCCTAAGAACCCGGGGAGGGAAACATTACGCTCACCTTACAGGCCAAGGAACTGCAAGAGGTTATAGAGACTCTAAACCTGAACCTTGCATAGCTGCTGGCCCCAGCGGGGAGAACGAGCAGGGTGACAGCAGGATCGCATGGGCTGGGCTTATTGCCCAGTCCCAAAGGGAAGGCGCTCTGAGGACAGGGAGGGGAGGTGCCACTAATAGGGTCATACTTTCCATGGGCACATGCTTGTCTGTGCTTGTCTGAGGGAGATGTGAGCATAAATCCCCTGGAAGAGGCACTTCTTGGGTACTGCGGCTGTAAAGGAACAGGACTGGACTAAAATGCTGAGATCTAGGTTCTGGTTCCTGCTCTGACCAGCTGAGTCACTGTAAGAAACTTGGGGCTTTGACTATGAAATGTGGGGCTGGATGATTTCTATGTTTCTAACAACACCAAATGCCCTGAAAAATGACTAGAGAAGTCCCCAGTCCTCATCCCATATCAGTGGTTAGGAGCATGGATTCTAGAGCCAGATACTTAGGCTCAAATATAAACTCTGCCACTTGGTAGCTGAGGTAAACTTGGGCAGAAAAGCCCATCCTTCCCTATCCCAGTTTCCTGATGGAGGGACAATGAGTTTATGTACCTCATAGGGTGGTTATGAGAATTCATTAAATTAACACATGAAAGGTGGCCAGAGCAGGGCCTGGCACATGGTGCTCTCTGTGTATTAGCTGATGAGCAGTTGCTATGGTCACATTCTTGTCTGTCTGTCCCCACCAAAAACTGTAGGTCAGAGTGTGATTTTAAATTGATAATTCCCAACAGGATGTACACAGTCACTCTCTCAAGTTCTTTTTCTCTGAGAGTGTTCTTCTCAATCTGGCCTTAGAACACTGTTTAGGGTCCAATTCTGGGGCCCGTCTCAGGTGGGGAGGCTCCTGAGAGGCCCCTCATCAGGCTACAGGGTAGGAGACAGGGTGAAAGGTTAGGTCCCCACCTGGGAGTCTCTTTCCTGCCTTTCAGGCAGCCAGCAAGGGCAAGGCCTCCTGGGGCTGAGGATCACCTGGCTTCCTACCAGACCGGTTTGGAGCTTTTTAAGGAAGGAACTGAGTCAGCACAGTTTACCCCAGTAGTAACAGGCAGTATCATCTCTCCTTGGGGACACCAGTCCCGGCAGACCTCTAAGCACTTGACTGAGGTCTTGGCTGGAGCAACAAATGGATAGACAGCGATTTGCTCTGCTGCATTCAGATCCTAGCTGAGATGGGGGCCCTCAGGTTGAGTCTCCTTATTATAGCTAGGGCTCAGCAAAAGGAGTGACCTTTAGGAGGTCGCAGGGCCCAAGAGACCAGCACAAGACAGACAGATACAGCTGGCCAGAGCCTACCAGACAGGCAGGCCCCACCCAGAGCTCTACTTCCTTGGGAGAAGGGAAGACATTGTGATTGCCAAGTGCGTACACATCTGTCTTCTCTACCTCAGATTCTAAGCATCTCAAAGGCAGAGAACGTCTCTTGGTCACTTCTGTCTCCTTCCCTGAGTCTAGACAGTGCCTCACTCACTGTAGGTACCTTATACATGTCTGATGAATTGAATAGGATACTTCTTTCCCAGGCCTATTTTCTGGGGCATTTCTCAGATCACTGATGGGGTGTGCTAGAAACAAATGCCTCAAAATTGAGTAAGATATGACGAGCACCCTCCTCCCACGGCGCTTGAAGCAGAGGCCAGAGGTGACTGGGGTGACTCCTTTTTACTCTGGAGACTGGTAGAGCCAAGGTGGAAGTGAGGTCAGATTGGGAGGCCATAGAAAAAGGCCAGGCTGTGGGTCCTGGGGCTCTTAGATGGTGAACAGGGGGGCAGGAAGGCCCTGCCCTGAGGTGGGGGCAGAGAAAGAGGCAAAGAGCTGCCAAGAGAAGGGGCTGCCTCCTGGGCCTGTGTCCTCGCACAGTACAGAGAGGAGGCTATGCTTGGTCCCTTACGACAGCCCTTGGTCCTCAATCCTAACCTCCTGGGGACTGTCCTCACTGTCCCACGAGCACGTAATCCGCATACGTCACAGCTGAACTGCCCACCTGCCCTCCCTGTCTGGGTTAATGACACTTCTGATTTCCCAGGCAGAACCCCTGGAGTGATGATTGTCTCCTGATCCTGTGGGTCAGGCTGTGTGACTTCATTATGCACCCGGTCTCCCACCTGTCCCTCTCTTTCCCACCTCACTGCCCACTCCTAGTTCCCCTCATCTGCGATACAACAGCCTTGGAGTGGTTTTCCCTGCACCAAACTACTCTTTACCGTGACCACCAGGTTCATCACACAACTTCTAACATGTCACTCCCTGGTCAAAAGCCATTCTTTGATTACGGGATAAAATCAGGCCTGGGCATTTGGTGCTAGTTACAATCCACTTCCATGAGGCCTTGCTGTTCCCTGCCTCGATGTCCCCGCCATATGGAGCAATCCAGCTGTAACCCTTCCTCCATGAGGGGATGATGGGACAGCCCAATCTCTGCCTCTACAGCACTCCACGCTCGCCGGTCCACTCGGCCTGCATGGCACCTACTGTAGCTCGCATGCACAGTATGGGAGCCTCCCCCAACCCTTGCCCACAGCTCCTGGGGGAGGGGGCGACGCCAGCATTGGAAGGGATCCGGGAAGCACCAATGCTCGCGTATAAAGATGAGGAAACTGACGCGTACAGATGGAAGGCGACTCGCTGGCATCAAGCGCACACACAGTGAATCAAAGCCGGGGCTCGGGTCCTACAACCCGGGCACTGACTCGCTCTGTATATCCCCGGGCCTCGCACCCCTTGGGTGGCCCATAAACCGCATGAACCGACTGGAGAAAATGGTCGAGCGGGTGAAGCCGGGAAAGGATATCTGAGGGGGGGGGGGAGCTGCGGCAGGCGGGGCAGAGCCCCATCCCCTTCCCTCCCGGCCGGCCCGGACTCACTTTGCCGAGAGTGTGTTGATGGAGCCGGTGACCAGCATAAGCCCGGCCAGGAACAGCTGGTACTTGGTCCAGGCCATGGCGGTGGAGGTGGGGAGCGCAACACTACAGGGGCCCCCGCGACCTCCGCGATCACTCGAAGCGGCAGCCCCAGACCCGGTCACGGAGGGTCTCGGGTGCGAGCGCTTCCGGGCCGGGCATCACGTGACCCGCGCTGGCCTCGCCCCGCGCAGTCGTGCTCCGCGCCTCGCCGGAGGGTGTCGGCCCTGGCAGCTGAGCTCGCTGGGCGGAGGTGCCCGCACTCTGCAGAGCCAGAGTCCGGCGTGCTGGTCCCCGTAGGGTGACACTGACAAGTCACGGGCCTAGGTATCCCCATTTGTAAAAGGAAGCGATGGGACGATGCAAAGAGTATGCATCGTGGATGTTAGAGCGTTTTGTAAACCATTGAGAGATTGAGCTGAATGACTTCAAAGGCAAACTACAAAGTGGACATATCCAGCGTGGGAATCTCCTCTCCACATGGTACCCAGGGAACTCCCGGGAGGCCTAGGACGCGTCCCTAGGGATCCCAGCCTACAGTGTTGCTCACATCTTACAGAACACTGGTGTAGGAAGCTAGTTCCTGCTTCCCGAGAGAGCATTTTATAGTTAAGGAAACTAAATTGAGAGAAGCCAAATGATTTGCTTATGATAACGCTAGTGAGTGATGGGGTGGGGATTTGCACGCAGATTCCTTAGTCTCCCCCCAAATCCGTGGCTTCAGCTCAGCCCCTCCACGAAGATTGCCCCACTGCGTCTTCGTGGATTCCCCAGGTGCTGCTAGGAGGCAATCACAGTAGAAAGACCTAGGTTTGTTTGCAAAAGCTTTCTGGCTTTTACAATTCCACTCCTAGTTCTCAGCCCCTAGATGCCCTCTGTCCCCATCTCCAGGTCTCCAGTCTGGACTCTAAGCCCTGTCACACCACAGGCTGGAGCCCAAGACCTTCCAGGAACTGCTTCAGACCCAGTGTGCACATTTCCCCCATCACTGCAGATCTTGTTACTAAAGGTGCAAAGATAGGCCTGCCTACCAACTATTCCTACGTACCCTAAGACGGCATTGAACTTGTGAAAATGACCAGTGTTGAATCAGAAAAATTCTCAAGGTACTGCACAGACCCTTTTATTACAGGAAGACCTGACTAAGAAGGTGTATAAGTGGGGCTCTGGACAAAATGTAGGAGGTCACCAGATAGACAGGGAAGGGGTTTCCCACAGGAGGGAATGGCACAGAGGTATGAGTGAGCGTGGAGTGTGTTTGACCCACAGACCATCTGGGAACTCTCCTTCTCTGGTGATTGTTCTTATAAGTCAGTGGGGAAGACGGGAGACTCACAAGGAGGTTTCTTAAGAGCTTCTTGTCCAAGACAACACCACTAGTTTCATGTGATTTAAAAGGACTTAATTCAGTTATCCAAAATTTTTTAGTGAGGTTCTCATGCTAAATGAATAGATAAATGAAGATAAATGAAGCACAGCATCTGTCCCAAGGGGCAGGCCGGTGCAGTCCACACAGCTGGACAGCCCCATCCCTAACGGAGGCAGTTCCTACAGGTCACAGTGACACACTCAGTGGGGCTCTGGATCATTTCCCCCACATGTGTCCAAGCCAAGGGCACTGTCTTGAAGTAAACATTACTAATGATCAATGGTGGTACCAGTCCGACATGATGTCACTAACAGCACAGTCTTTGTCTATCTCTATAGCCACATCATAAAATGAATTGTATTTATCACCATGTTCTGACCATTCATCAAACTGCTGTCCCTGGAGCCCAGGAGACGGAGGGTTTATTTGCAAAAACACTTGGAGCCCACTAAGTTCCAGGCCCAGAACTAGACATAAGACCCTCAAAGACAAGTGAGACAAGGTCCCTGACCTCAAGGAGTTCAGGATTCTACGGAGGAGAGTGGTGAGCTCATGGGTAACCATGCAGCAACCTGAGGATTTGTAAGAGGCGGAGGGAGCTGGGAAAGGGATGGATTCCTCAACAGGAATGGGAGCAAGGGCATGACAGTGATAATCAGAGCTGTCCTGGATCAGGTGCCTCATCTGTGTCTGCTTGTGCAGGGTGCTTGACCACCGTGAACTCAGTTCTCACAGCAGCCCTGTGTGCTGGAATTCAGAGGTGTTTGAGCAGGGGCTTGAAAGGGAGGTAGAATTGCTCCAGGTGGAGAAGGGGTTCACCTGGGGCAAAGACCACACCATGTGGACACCATGGGGTTGGCCAGCCAGCCCTCATGCTGGGGAGTGACCTTCAGTGAGGCTCCAGGTCTCTGCCAGCCTGGCTAGACTGGGCTTTACAGGTGAAAACCAGGGTTGATGTTAGTGTCACAGGTAGTAGTGAGCCTGAGGTCAAGGCATCGAAACCTCAGGATACAGGAATTCTGAGAAAAGTAGAGAAGAATCAGGATGGGTGTGTTCCTACACAGGTTTTGCAAAATCCTTTGGGTTATTATTTGATTAAATTCAGAGATAGAGCTTAATGCATACGTTGGTTACAAATTTGCATCATAATTTTAGAAGCCATGATTCCCTGGATTTAATAACATGCTCACAAACCAAACCTGAGACCTTTCTGAGCCTTTTAGAAAGCCAAAGGTGGGCCGGCCCCTTTGTGGGGTGATTTTGGCCATCAGAGGAGCAGTTGTCTCCTAATTGCTCAGATTTGGTCATCCTGATTAAAGATTATAGCTTGCCTGAAGATCATGAAGATTGGAGTTACATGAAATGACGCAAATTTGCAAATTGTCAGCATAGGGTGGAAATTTACTGAACATTAGGGGTGCCCCTTCCACAGAATCCATGTGTGTGGATGGGGTGGTAGATGGAGACGGGAATTTCTTCATGTACCCGTAAGAGTACAGAACCTTCACGAGTAGAAATGACATCTGTACATGTTGTCCCAGACTAGGGAAGAGAGGGCTGCTTCAGGCTGAAAGGAGTCTGTCATTTAGAGCAAAGTGACCATAGTTCAGTCGCTTAATCACCCAGAGACCTACTTTCCTATTTGTAAAATAAGAATGTTAATATTCACAGCTTGTTGTACAGAGGGAAGGAGGACAGACGTGGAAGTGCCATGGGAGGCCCATGGGAGAATGGCACTTCTCCCTGAGGTCCTTCCTGTACCTCTTTGCTAGACCCGCTCTGACCTCACAGGAAGGACCTTAGGCTGCCCACTAAAAAGCACTTCTCATGATTTGCATAGGTGCAGGATCCAGTCTCTGAGCCTTTTCTCCCAAAGTCAGGGACATTTTGAACAAATTTGCATGCTCAATTTCCAGAGTCCTTTAAATGCGTCAGTGCAAACCCCTGCATTTGTATTCAAAGCTTACTGCAGCCTGTGGCTTGTCTGAAAGATTGAACATTTCCTCAATCAATTTAATCACATTCTGGGTTAGGAGAGAGTTATTTTATCCTGAGAAGGACAGAGACCTATCTTGTTTAGAACAAGTTTTTGCTGTATGTCCTTGGGCTGTTTCCCTCATGTGTAGCCTGTTCTCCTGGTAGAATGTGGCCGTCTCATGGGCAGGTGACAAAGATTCTTTGCTTGACCAAACTGTAGTCATGAACCTTCTCCTAAGCCCATCTGTGTACTTTCGTATAAAATCCAGTTTTAGTAAGAACCCTGCTAAGTCTGTTTAACCAGAACCCCCCCCCCCCCCTATCTGATCACCTTCACTATCTCATCCTCCACCATCCCCCCCAGGGAATGTCTGAGCCTCTGACCTGACTTCAGCAAGAATCCTTTCAGGTGGGTTTAGCCAGAATCCCCTTTACACCTGATGTTTCCTCTTAGTAATTTTTCATCCATTGGCCCCTACCCTGCTACTAGGCTATAAATTGCCACTTGCCCACGTTATATTTGGAATTGAGCTCTGCATAACCCTGCATAGACTGAGAACTCTTTTCCTTTGTGGCACTATTATTTTTACGCGTATTGCTTTAATCACCGTCTGATTCTGGTTTTTCTTCTATACAGGCCTGGGTATCCAGTAGCCTGTCTCTCCCAACAGGGTGAGCATTGCAGGGCAGCCATCTGACGCTGTAGCTGGGAAGAGGAGTGGGGCCTTGGGGGCAGGAGGAGGGCAGGATAGACCCTGGCTGTCTGTCTCCTGGGGAAGAAACTGGGACAATAAAGCCAGGCCTGACAGGAACTAACCAGGGCAGCAAATGTGGATGGTCTGTACTGGTGATGAGGCAGTAGATACCATTTCCCAGCTTTTTCTGGTGGACTTTATGGCTGGTTTCCATGGTAACTAAAGATGATTAGATCAGGAATCACTTGCTCCTTCTAGCTTCAGGCCCTTATAAGGTCATTCTCAAACCTTCCCTCATTGGCCTTTCTTTTTTTTTTTTTAAAAGATTTTATTGGGGAATTGGGAGAGGGGAACAGCGTTGGAGAATTGGGGAAGAGGAACAGACAGGTAACAGGTAAACAAATTGCTGTTTTATTCTTCAGTCTAGTTGTGGAGGACGTCCCTTTACTGGCCCATGTTGGTATGATCATTGCGCTCTTCCCGGGTGAGGCAATCGGTCGCCGGTCATTGGTAGGCCGCTCACAGCGGCTCACGGCAACTCTCGCCGGCTACTGGCCGCTCACGCTGGCTGCCAGCCACTCACGTAGCTCATGGCAGCCCACTGCAGCCCCGCTGCAGCCTACACCATTGTGGGTGACTCACAGCAGCCCAGCTCCAGGTTGAGCTGTTGTTCATCATCTTAGCTATAGAGGGCGCAGCGTCACTGGCTCTCATGTGGGATCCGAACCGCAGCCCTGATGCTCAGGGCTGGCGCTCCCAAGCGAGCTCTTAACCAGCTGAGCCACTCGGCCGGCCCTCATTGCCCTTTCTTTCTTAACATCTTTTGGTCCCTAACACCCCTGCCATCAGTGCCGATCATTAGCCTTGGGGTGGGTGGGTCACTGGATCCTGGAAGCTGGTGTTTGTCTTGGTCCTCTGGGAGCAGGATCAAGTCAGATCCAGATTAAGCATGGACTCCTACTTAAGTTTGAGTTCAGATAAGCAATGAATAATTTTTTTTGTTGTAAATCTTCAGTACTGTTTGGGAATATACTTACACTAAAAAGTGATCCATTATTTATCTGAAACTCAAATGTAGTTGGGTATTTCATTTGCTCAGACTGGCAACCCTGCTGGCCTGGCGCCCAGCTCAGTGCCCTAGGTCAGAAAAGGTAAACCATGACATCAGCTGCATTGAATGGGTGTGTCTCAGGCAAATATCTTCCTTTGAATATGCTGTTGAG